TCGTCAAGATCGATGCCAAGAAAAAAAGAGCACCTGTCTACCAGGAAATATCGAGACGAAATATCGTTAGGAAAAACTGTGACAACGAATCAGAGGCACATTCGTTTGCCGACAATTTGCTGACTTATGGTCGCATGCTCGGCGAACGTCAGTAAACCTTTGTGTCAGTAGTCGGTGGACGCAATTCCCTCGCCAATATCGATCGAATTAAACCAACGATACGTCCCGATTTTTCACTCGAATTTCTACCGTTCGTTTTATTCTCCCTCTCTATTTTATTTTATTTCACTTTATTTTATTTTATTTTATTTTATTTTTTTTGCCTCCGATTTGTCGACGAAAATTGTTCGTTGAGATTCACCGTGGTTCAATGCTTTTTCATTTCTGTTACAGGAAGCGGAAGCAGCAGCATGTTAGCGCCATGTATTTTCCTGCTGATGACGAGTATATTGATTCTACGATAAGAAGGACACGTGATGTCCTTTTCCTCATGCTCATCCTTTTCAGGCCTCCAAAACGAGTTTTATGGAGATTCCTGGTGTACTAAATTATCCGTGTTATTTCTATTTTTTATAATCGCAGTTAGTGGAAGTTAGCGACGACATAGGCGAGAGAATATACTTAACAGAATTATACATCAGTATAGTTAGAGATTAGGAAATGGGAGGGGACATGTAAATTCGTACTTATTGTAATCGGGTCGTTGAATCTCTGCACATCTCTACACGTACATACGTTCGCAGTTTTTATACTTTCGACGTTTCTGCTCGTTATTAATGTCTCTTCACATATCTATGATAACTCATAGCTGTTCTTCAACATTATAACAATCGACTGATCATCAAATTAGCAATTATGACTTTTGTTATATTTGTAGAAGTAATTTCAAACATGTAAAAAGTAAGAAAATAGACAATTAAATCAATTGTACTAAACTGAAATGCAAAATGCTCAGAAATTCTTGTTCTGTTGTAATTTCATTTTTCTTAAAAATGCAAAATTGATCTTACAATTCATTTTCAATATGAAATTAATAGAAAATCATAATTTATATTTATAGTTTACGTTGACGTGGCGTCAACGGTCGTCATAATGTTGAATTAAATACATATACAGATTTACAAACTAGATGCGCAGAGATTTATCGTCTCGTTAAAGAGAATATGATCATGGTTACTTAAAAAAAATCATCTTTTTTATTCAAACAACTCATACAATTTAAAAAAAGAAGTTCACAAACAAATCTATGTTCATCTAAATGTCTCTTTGGACTTTCGAAAGTGAGAGATGACAATTTTTATGTATTTTTCTTTTCTTCTCTTTCATTTATTATTAAGTATAAAAAAAAAAAAAAAATCGCGAGCATGAACGAACGAATAATAATCAACCGGAATGAATGAATGAACGAACACCGAGTATATTTATATATTCTAATTGTACATGAGTGTTTCTATCGTCCAATCACGCGAGAGAACAAGCAAGATTTTAATCCTGGTGAGAGTGTTCTCTTTCGTCGTAGCTTTTATCAATCTAGTCGCTATTAACCGCAGAGATATGTTATCCTAGAAGTTTATTGTGAGCTGTGTGTGTACGCGTGTGAATGTAGGGTGTGTTTTACCAAAGAACATTTTGCGCTAAATAACATTCCTAACTGTTAATTACAAGTGAAATATACGTAGTGGCATAAAAGAAAAATGCCGCTCGCCGCATTATGGTATTTTACTGTAAGAGCACTCTGTACATATGTACATAAATCGAAACTTTTATCTTTAACTTAACATTCTGATAAATAAAACGGCGTTTACGTCGACGGATCAGACATGAGTGTCAGTTTTGTTTAACGGTGGCTCTTTAATTATACTATGTCCGTGCACACTTGTATGTATATTATTCTTATTGTAAATACTAAGAGAATCATAAATTGGGATTATTGGAGAGGCATCTGTCGATGAAAAATTTATGTCGCTTCTTCGCGGACGATCCGGCGAAAAATTTGGAGATCTTCTGCTCCCCACGATTCTCTTCTTCTTCCACTTCTTCCCATTCAACGGACAGAGCGTGCGACTGCAGGATCCTTTCAGCAGGTGACCAGCTAAACCTGACAACACGCGGGAATCCAAATACATCGTCTACATTATCGAATAGCCACTTTTTAGTATCCGGATCATTCGGGTATCCGCATCCGTATACGCTCGAGATCGTCCCTTCGCGAAATTGCCAAACTTTCAAAGAGCAGTCGCGCAGGACTTTGGCGCAAATACTGGCAGCACTGACGAT